GTATATAAAACTACGAACCATTTTTCGGTCGTTTAAGGGCTGTCTTATGATCATCATGCGACTGTATTAATTTCCGTTTAATAGCTAATTTTGACTTCTGTGCAGATGTCACTGTTGAACAAAAACAAAATAAATATAGATTTGTTAAAACACACTATAATAAAGAAGATGTCAGAATTTTTACATGTTATCGAGTGACATTTTTCATCATTTTGAATAATGTTACGATAAAAAAATCACTTTCATTTTTTTTTTGCCTGTTGAAGTTTCTTTATCTGTTCATCAATTTTGACACTAAGTTTGCCAATGGGGTTGTATTTTTCTTTAAATATTTGTAAATAAATTCGTCAAACTAGTCAGCATGTACCATTAATTAATGGTGATTATTGCTGATCCTGTTACCTTATGTAAACGTTTTCTAGGACAATTTGAGTATAAATTGGTTATTTAAACCTCAAGACAATATATTTTTAATAATTTTTTGGAATTTTCGTATTATTAATTTTTTTTATCATCACTACAATCAACAATGGTTTAAACTTTGATATGGTTACGTCTATCCAAATTATTAAATCTTATCTCATCTTATTTTACTGATACATAAAGCAAAGTCGCTTGAACCGTTGAGATCGCTAACCACGACAACTACTGACTCGATTTTGCTAAAATTTTGCATACCGACTCTTGACACTTCCTAGACAGTTTTAGTTTAGTTCTTATCTTAAAAAATTTGATAACAATAGTAATAAAAAAAGCTCAAAGTTTTGCAAAAAATATACCAGCTTTTTAGTTAAGTTCAGTAGAATCTGATAGATGGCATCGACATAAAATCGAGGCTACCTGTGACAGAATAAAATAAGTATGATTATAATAGGCCGGAGAGTCTCGAAAACTTCTGTACTCGTCAACTGGCGGTTCATCGAGCCGCATCGAGTATCGAGAACGTAGATGATAGTCGTGCAGCTAGGTACTCCGATTACCGACGACACTTTTCTCTGATAGGAAAGCGACTCAGTTCTACTTCCGCTCTAATCCTTCGGGATTGACAAGTGCCAAGAAAATAAAAATTGTGCAAATCGATAATGTCTCTGGCGGAATATCATCAGGAGACTTCTCGATTAGAAAAAATTGGTTGGCCAACGTTCGGGCGGTCGACAGTTGCCACACAGTCATCTGCGGGCCAAGTGTGGTAGTCGATTCGATTCCGATTCGGCTTGTGCGCAAATTTGACATGTGGCCCGACAGTAGGCAGCCAAACATTTAGTAGTCGAAGTACGCCTGAAGACTGCCCAAAGGCAGTGTGTCGAAAGAAGTGGTCGATAAAAACACACTACAGCTAGACCGATAGAAAATCTTCGAAATCTCAAAATCGATATCTAAAGGGATATTTTAGATATTATACGTAATCAAATTCGTAGATTACAGAAAAAATAGTCAAACTCGTCAAAACTCTGTTTACACCCTTAAAAAAGTGTTTAAAGTTTATTCCGTAAATATCTCGTTAACTGTACAAATAGGATGAAAATAAAAATGCAAGAGTGTAAAGTGAAAAATTTCCTATTGATTTGGTTTTTTACTTTTGTTTGGACCAGCACAAGATTTTAAGCTAAAAATTAATGGCATTTTTGCTCGATACCATGAGAGTGGGAGAGACAGAAAGCGCGTGGACAAACAGTGCACGATCATCGTCTGCTGGCAATATAGATATATATAGATTCACATGACAATATATGCATCTACATAATGGCGAACGATGTTGAGCAGAGTTAGGGCCACCTATGGCTGTTTAATGTTTGGCTGCCTATTGTCGGGTCAAATGTCGAATTTGCGTGCAAGCCGAATTCGAGCCGACTGCAATATTGTTCAGCACCTAGCAGTCAGGCCAAATAATTATGTACGGTTGCCAACCTACTGTTTCTAATCGGATTGTCTAGTCAGAGCCCAACCTGCTCCAACACTTCAGAATCATGGGGCCGTTCCACCGGAGCTATTCACATAGACATTTTTTGCTTATTTTATTGTGAACGTTGATACTGAAAGGGGGGTTCCACTGTTCTGCTAAACTCAAAGTGAGTGAACAGACTGAACAGACCTATACCTCTTTTTCCATCAGGCAACAAAGTCTATGGTCTATGGTCGCAACTATGTTGACTGACAGAGAAAACAGTATAGGTCTGTTCAGTCTGTTTACTCACTTTGAGTTTAGCGGAACAGTGCAACCCCCTTTTCGATATGAACGTTCACAATGAAATAAGCACAGTATGTCTATGTGAATAGCTCTACCATCCCGCCTGGTGCCATCAAAGAATTTTTGGCTATAAATGTAAGCGAGGGAAGACATCCCTAAGGAGCACAAGAAGCTACAACGACTTCCATCTCAGTGGTCGTGTTTTCAACAACGTACCCACATTTTTCTAACTAACGATGAGCAGTTGGTTAACTAGGAAATGACTCGAAGACCAGATATTCTTTGGTCAGCAGCGTACCTCCCACCATCACAGTCTCCATACATCGAGACTCCCAGGGTGAGAAGCAAGCTTACCGCAGCTTGCTCTTTATTATCAGGAATAATAATAAGAAATAGCTGGAAGTTTTACCACTGGCCCTTTTTAAGACTAATATAAGTATTAACGATCCCTACTTAACCATCAATCTTACCGGTTCTTTTAAGAGCCACCTAAGTTTAAACTAGCTTGCCAACAAACAAATTTTTTCGAATAAAAATGTATGTCGACTAAAAGACTATGTTAACTAAAGATGGCCACTATGAAACCAAGTCAGTCAGCGGAATTATTCTTTGCAAGGCTGGGAGCTCCTGTGACCGACAACCTTATATTACCCTCTCGACTCTAACGTTCAACCAAGATTTACCGATCCTCTCCAAGATCTGCGCTGGACGAATCCAACAGCTATAAAGAAGAAAAACTGGAGCCAACGGGACATAGTCAATTTATAGTGAGAATGTATCAATGCGTATTTGAAAAATTCCCCGGTATGTCTTCAATAGCACGTATCAAATGGTGTAAGAGTAGACCTGCTCACAGCTCGTTTCCTCCGAAAAACAGGAATTGCACTTCGTTCAACTGCGTAGGAGTAACCCATCTTGGGCTTCTACATGACAGCGGTGCCAAGCCAAAGCGTTGGCCAATACGTAGTGTAAAATGTATAACACACAACGGCTTCGTTACCGTATGTACGTTTACGGTACAGACGCTACTAACAGTGAGTTATTCGTTACTAAAGTGGAGTGAACGCATTGTATATGTCGTCTCACTCTTATTGGTAGTAACAGTAACAGCCGAAGTAATAGCAGTAGTGGCAACGATAGCGACGAAAACGAAAAGTTTTTACTCTAGCCATGCACCTTATGAAAAAAAAAATGCACGCACTTCGCGCGTCTTTCTCTCTCTCTTTCTCTTCCTCTCTTTCACGACCAAATCATACCTTGACGATTGCAGCAACAACGTGAAACGTCTTTACAACTACTTTCGATCGTTCGCGGTCTGCGCAGTTGCGTTGCATAGTATATATACTCTCATAAGTACGGAAGCGCCTACGTGCCACCTAGCTAGCTAGCCACATAGCTAGCCACATAGCTAGCCACATAGCTAGCTACATAGCTAGCTAGCTAGCTAGCCTGGTGTATACACAATTGCACAGGTTGTATAGGCTGAGATGACTGAGTGCTCGAAAATCGGGGGACCACGAGTGTCGATATATCGAAGTCTGCATTTAGTATTCACATATCGATCAAAGTAAGCTGGATTTTGCAAATAGGCATCCCTCCATTTTCTTAAGCCTGACCTAACCGTGAAACGTATACAGTTGAGGCGTGGGAATGTAGACTAAGGAAATTGTCGACATAACTTTAATATTTGGACAACCTTAATACCAGTAAGTTAACCAGATCTGCAATAATTGTAAAAATTATCACAACATACTTAAAGCCTCATAAATTTATACATTTGTTAAACTCTCAAATCCGCAGTCTAACCTACAACCACGCCTCTACAGACAGTTGTTGCAGTGAAAACCTGTCCATTAGAAGAATTTGTGACCAGAACATTTATTATTTTTACTCCTTTAAATACACTTGGTCTCGGTCATCTTTTTGATTTTCTTTACTCGTTTTGAAAATACTATAATCGGTGAGGCTTGCGAATGATGTTACATTTTATAAAATAATGCTTGTGCTCAAACTATATAAGTAAAAAACTTTTACAGGTTCTTTTACGCCTCTTGTACATGTGACAACCCTCAGCCGTGTTGCATCCTCTGCTGCCTTTACTGGAGTGTAAGCAGCGTAAACAAAAAAATTAAGAGCTTTGGTTAAACAGAATTACTCTTTTCAAGGTACGCTGGATTAACGACTCATTGCAATTACGATTCATCAAGAGTGTGAACTGAGTAATTGTACTTTTGCGTACACACTTGGTCAATTTTGATTTTTTTTTCCTTTTCTTTAAAACTCTTTGCGTAATGTTTACTAACTAAGCATTTTGTACCTAGCAGTTCATACGTATGGCTGCATCGGTTTATAGTATCCTTCCGATATTCATCGGTTGGACTATTTAATTGATTCCCCTCAATTATGATTCCGCAGATGTACGAGCTTTGGAATAAGCACCACATCAGATGCAAGTGAGCTGCACGTTAGTATGTGTGTCTAAATAGAAACGCACAGAATTTACTGTAAAGGTTTTAAGTACATATTTCTTTGCTCACAGACTTAAAAGACCTTAACAATCTGGACGAGGGTTAACCCTACTACAAATCGTTTACATTCTTATTCCAGTAACCTTTCCAGTCGAAGATTCTGCCAAGAAAGCCTAGAGTGTCAAAAGCCAATTTCTTTTTATAAAAAGTTACTAGTTTTTGGAGACTAAGACACGTAAAATAACTTTATTTTATTAAAATTTAAGGTAGTTATTGTATCTATATCGTAAAATCTACAGCTGATTCGCAAAAGTTTTATTAATTATAATGTTGTTTATCAAGAGATGGACACACAGCGAAAAGTGCAAATTATTTGTGATGGGGAGCCGCCCGTGTTTCTTATGATTACTGATGACAAATTGAAGAAGTCACTTATAAAAGAATATTTTCCTTCTGCAGGAAATTTAACTTATAAAGTCGGCGCAGAAACATATCTTTTGCAGACGGATGCTGAACATAATGTTTTGGAGCCTCTCATCGACACTTATTATTTGAGTATTCGAACTGGTATTTCTATTGAGTTCGAAATTTTTCATTTTTTTTCTATATTTTATTCCATGGATTTCAGGAACTGTCCCGCATCTGAATGACCAACAATTAATGAGGTTTAATGAAATTTTGCAAAAAATCAATGCAAACCCGAATCCCGACCTGAAGGAGACCCCGAAGCAGAATTCAAAGGTAACTCTGGTGCTGTACTGTAATTTAATTCCTTCTGCTTTACTTGAGACATATATGTACATATATTTACATATTTACACTTTTTTTGGTAGTTCACAGATCAAAAAATCGGTGCTAAACGTAAATCCAACATGAGTCAGGGGAAAGAAGAGTTCAAACGGAGAGTGGTTTGCTTGGGATAGAAACACCGAATTAGTGTTAACGACAATTACAAGTCACGCGGGGCACAGATTAAAGTAGAGCTTAATGGCAACAAAGAGTATACTTTAGATGCATCGAAGCAATTATTTTTACAAAGTATAAAAGACAAGTACTCTGAATTCGATCAATATGTAACAGAATTGGATGATTCCTCAGTTCGCATTGGTCGATATGATGAGAGCATAATTTTTAATTTTAAGTTAAATGGCACCCAGTGCGGGTTCTGGAAGTACATTCAGCAGTACAGGACTACTGGGCATCGCATCACCTTATATCTTCTTACTACACAGAATCCGGTTTTTAATTCTTCAATCACTACTTTGGACACTACATTCGTCTACAAACGTGAAAATCTAAATGTACCTATAATTTCTTAAAATGAGACAGCCAAACCTAATACCGATGAAATATCGAAAAATTCACTCACAAGCCGTTCTAATCCTTATGAAGGAAACGATGACCATACTTTATACAATAATAATAATAATAATGTGGGTCCAAGCTATTTAGATAGAAACAAGCAAGCATTACTTCAAATGTCCAACTTGACAAACATTGAGGGTTTGCCGAAATTAAGAGAAAACCATCTTACGCGTAATGAAAGTAACAACACTTTACGTTTTTTAGACTGCAACACGGCAAGTTATCATGCTAATAAATCTACACCTGATCAAAGTACAATAAAAAGTCCCTTGAAAAATACACTCTTCAATTTTTCTAACGACTTAGGTAGTAGAAGTTCGCCAACTAAAAGTGATGGTAAAGAGCAAAGTAATCCAAAAAATTCAATTAACCGTACAGAAAAAAGTCCTTCAAAAAGATCGTATCCTTTTAACAAGCCATCAACTGCTGATCACCAAAACAGACATCATCGGGAAGAAACATTTGAAAACGTTAATAAACCAAGTACCAGTAAAGTGAAATCAAATTCATCGGGTGGATCTGCATCATTTGTTGCTCTTGTCCCTTGCTCCATAGATAATTTACCACTGTGTAATACCTTAAAGGGAGCCATCAACCACAATAAACAACAAATTACAGAAAGTAGTATTAGAAAACTTCCAATTCCAGTGAAAACTACTTTAAAGGATAAAATTGTACGGTTGAATTTATCAGTTCCGCTGATCAAGGAAAATAAAATAACGATTTTTGGTGAAATACTGGGGAAGGGGGCCCAAGGTATCGTACGCAGAGGTAAATTATTAGGATCACCCGTCGCAATGAAAACTATGAAAGTTGACAACAACAACAAAATTTTTATACTGCGTGAAATCAAACTGTTGGACAAAATTCGTCATCCCAACATAATTTCAATTATGGCCGTATCATGTGTAGAGAATAAAGTACACATTGTCACAGAATATGTTGAATCAGAGAACTTGCACACAATTCTTCACACGCCAGAAATTCGTAAAACATATGATTTTACAACAGACAGAAAAATATTTGTGGCTCACCAAGTATCCTGTGCTGTTGTTTTTTTACACCAATTGCCAGGATCGTCTATCGTGCATCGAGATATTAAACCAGGAAATATTTTAGTCAAAACAAATTTCGACACGAAACTCTGTGATATAGGTTTAGGAATATCTACAGGATTGGAATCACACCTTCAGTCAGCGGTGGGAAGTGTACGTGGCACTTACCTATTTATGGCACCGGAAATGATTGTAAACCGTAAGGAAGCTTCGACTTATACCGACGTGTGGTCTTTTGCATGCACGACAGTTGAACTATTTACAGAGCAGCAAGTGTGGGATATAAAACACTATTTCAATATTCTTGGAGAACTGACTGATCTGTTTCGACAAAGAAGCGTTCCAAAACTAGATGCTATTCCACCATTTCTACAAAGGTTATTAAAAAAATGTTTTAATTAAAATCCCAAAATGCGGCCACCAATGAATCACATTCTCAATAAACTTGAAAGTCAAGTTCAAAATGTACATAAGTGAAACATCATATTTTTTAAATAAAAGCATAGCTTCACAATTTTGAATGTTTTATTTTAAAAAAAATTTTACTATGATAAAAGTCTGATATTAATGAGAAAAAGTTTAATGATTCTCTTCGGAATTTATTAGTGTTACAAATAATTATTTAATTTTTATAAACAACCATAAATCTCACATCTTATGGTAATAATCTTAAGAGTGTATACTACTGTGCATACATGCACTTGTACATATATATACATACATGAAAATCCACTCTTTTCGTGGAATTAAACGTCGTTGAATACTGAAAAATGTGTACTTTATGACGTGTACTGAAAAAAAATATGTATGAATGTATACATATACTTTTGCACATGCAGTTTACTAAAGAAAAATTTGTTTTCAAAGTACTGCGTTGTTAGAGTTTTTTTCACGTACAATATTTAACATGAAATGTGCAAGTAGGGTTTATAATACTAATTATATGTTTAAAATATGTTCTGTAAATTAAAAAAAAAAAAAAAACCAAAAAAAACAAAACAAAAGTTGGGCAGCTGATTGCTTGCGCTCCGATTTCAATGATAGAAGTTAATTGAGCCTGGCAGAGTCCTACGCCCGCACCAACCGCAGAGAGGCACGACGTCAGAGACTGCAGCCACAGATCCAAAGAAAAAACCGTGTTCTGGGTAATCTCCTAGGACCAGGAAAAGCAGCTCAAGGCCCAACCCGCGTAACAACCACAAGGGAAGGACCTCTTCCCTGCATGGTTAAGGAGATCCCTGGCAGAGTCCTACGCCCAAGACATCAACTAAAGCCAGCCTGCTCGGGCTGTGCAAAAGGTACTGTTTCCTTTGTCTCTCTGCACTGGCGCCCCTCAAAAAGAAAAACAAAATACATTAATGCCCTGACCAAGGAACACAAGAAACCGCGCTGTTATATTTTGCTATATCCCGATATTCTTTGTATTCACTAGAATTTTGCGACTCATATTTAATGTAACGCGTCAAAATAATTGACTAAGGATAAATGCTGTAAGCCGTATTGTAGCTATAATTTAAAAATTTGTTTATAAATAAATCAGGAAAAGTGTGTTATACAATCTGTTCACGTTTATTTGCCATACGTTCTCACCAAAGTCCCTATATCAAGAGTCTCTCAAATTTCTTTACAATCAAATAAAATATCCTTATCATACCATACTTAATAACT